GTATTTTATTTATTACTAGCTTGTTTTAGAATGACTGTATTCAAGCTAAACTATCGGCAGCTGCGTTTCTAAGAACTCATATGCTCAATAGGACAGAGAAGCCATGTAGATTTGTAGGCTCCACGTGGATAAAGCTAGAGTTTTCTCTTGCTTCTTGCATTATTTGACAAGAAAATCCATGCTCTACGATAGGGTAGGTTAATAAAAAAAGTAATTTTGTAACTCTGACAACGCCGTGTCACTTCTGTGTTTGAAATGCCCAAGTAAATAAACCACGTGTAGAGCAGAGCAAGGAATAACCTGCAGGATTTCACCTTTCTGTTATCAAACAGGTCACAGCTTTATCAGCGTGAGGCTGATCCTGGGTATGGGTGAGGGGTTTGGTGGGTGCCTGGTGCCCCCCCAGGTCCAGGGTTTGGCCATGGCATGCTGCAGTCGGGGAATCTGTGCCCAGCTTGAGACGTGCAGGGTCAGCAGCAGTGTTGGGAGGAGCAGAGCAGCAGGTCTGGGCAGGAATGAATCAAGGAATGGAACAAGATGGAGGGAAAAGAGGGCTGGGAACCTGTGCTTTAAGGATTATAGGAAACCAGGCAATTTGGAGCAGGGCTGGGTGAAGAGACAGGGAGAAGACAGGCCTCCCTCACACTCAGCAGCAGGACACTGCTGGGCAAAAAGCTGTCCTTAGCTGAACGAACAGCTGGCCACAGCAGGGGTCAGGCAGTGGTCCCTCTCCAAGTGACCTATTAAATTTCCCTCACTACTTCTAGAGCAACAAGGACCTCACCAGCACAGAAGACATCCTGTGTTTGTTTATTCTCAAACACTGGCGATAATTTTTTTGGGGTGCAGACAAGCCAGCAAGCCTCCAACACCGAAATTCCCACTGAGAGAGATTACAAATAGGTAGGCAGTGCTACTGGGTGCAAATTGGAATTCAAACATATTTCCCTCTTCTCCCAATCCCCTCCTATGGATATGAAGGTCTATGCTGTCACACCTACAGCCCATCAAGGGCACGGGGAATCTTTCAGTAGCATTTAGCAAGCTTCAGAACAGGTTCACAGGTCTGACACAGGGTAGCCTGAAGTATGCTTAAACAGGTAAAAAAAAAAAAATCCATAACAATCCAGGTTTTTAGGCAAATTGAGAGTTATCAAAGAGAAGCAGAAAAGGAAGAGCTGTGGAATACTCTGGCACATCCTCTTCATACCAGTCAATTTAGACTCTGTGTGTTTTCTTTTGTGTCTAGTCTGCCGCAAGGGCTTGGCTCGAGCCGGAGCCAAGGCAGCCAGTGGGGAGCATTAGCTTGGACCTTCCCACAGAGCTCTTGGCTTGCACAGAGAAACGTCTCTTCCCTCTGCTCCCCTCCTCCTCTGCAGACAGACAGCCAAATCCCAAACTTAGTTTCATCACTTTGAGGGTGAAGTAACACAAAATGACTTCTACAGACCAACCCAGGAGATAAATGGATGAAAGCAGGATGGGGAGACGAGCCCTGTGCCGCATGTGGGCTCGCCAGCCAAACACAGCAGAGTACAGGGCTCTTCCTCCTGGGGAGAGATGTCTGTTTAGCAGCACTGAAATGGTCACAGCCCTGGAACAGCCAGGAGCTCTCCAAGTTTCCCCAGACTGTCCCCCTCTGCAGCTTAGCACTGACTTGGAGGAACAAACTAATCTGTGCACTCACCGAGTCCCTGAGCTCTTGGAGGCTGCTGGCAGAGTGTGCTGGACACAGAGCAAGACAGAGGTTTCAAACACGGGTGCTCAAGCACTACCAACAGAAAACAACCTTGGTCCCACCAGCACCACTCACTGCTAACACTTCACCATCATTCCAAATACATTAAGCAAGTTTTCACAGGAGGAAAGCTGCACCAGGTCCTGGCATCCCCCCACTCACACAGGTTTTATGCTACAGTTCAATGTCAGTTCTGTGTTTATGGTCAGTGTACGGCAATGTCCTTTCTGCAACCTGAAACCTAACCCACACTCCCACATATCAAAGGAGAGGATCAGCTGGAGGAATGCAGGGAGGCTGGGACTCAGCTCCTCCCTCGGCCTTAGCCTTTGGACCACCAACCTTGAGGAACAGGGATAAGCAGGAGACCTGGATCCTAAACGGCAGCAGGTTTTGTGGCTGATGGCAAAGCATCTTCCATTAAGGTCACTTAGTTTCCAACCTCTCAGAAAAATCCTGTGACCTATCCTTCCCTCCTGTTTCTAAAAAAAAAGGGAAACCATTGCTTCCCAGAAGCTATCAGGATGTCAGCAGTTAGGATAAACAAAAGGCGAGATGTTCTTGTCTAGCCTCAACTTTCAAAATTATTTGGTGATTTTGCACTTAACTTTACAAAAAGACTCAAGCATTCCTCTGATTAGTCACTTACATTTTTTGTTTGTAATTCATTCAGAGAACAGGAATAAAAAGGTTTCCTAGGAAGCAGGGGGAGTGGGAAGGTTACGGAACACGAAACAGATGCATCTAACTGTGAGTCACCAGCATCCTAGGAAATATCACTCCCTCTAACACTTGTTTGAAACCCATGATGAAATCAACCCTATCCAATACCAGGGCCCTTTTGGTGCCCAAACATTTTGCAGTTCTGCCAGTAATTTGGCCTCAGTGATGTTAAACTGAGCCATGGTGGATGCTGGGCCTATGAATACCTCTGCTACTTTCCCTCTGTCCCCTGAGAGGAGAACAGCTGTTTTATTTTGCTAGGATCCCCTTCCACTGGCCAGGGTGGCTGTACTCGACCTCAGCAGCAGCACTGGGGATTGAATCACCGTGTCCTGTGTTCCAGAGTCAACCCTGACATGCTATTCCACACCTCATCAGTGAAAGCCCCATTTTTGTTCTGTCTGTTCTGCAAAAATAATCAGATTTTCATTACCTACTGAGTCAAATCCCAGCAGAGCCAGGTGAAAGCGAAGTTTCCAAAGAGACATTTTGGCTAACAGCTGCCTGGGGAACACCAATTCCCTTTAAAGCTTTCCCCACCACGCCAAAAATAGCAAGCCAAAGATTTCCTCCATAAAAAAACTAAATTAATCTTACCTTCTTTTGCACAACTGGGGTGAAGAAGTTGTGCATATTCAGAGCTAAGATATAAACTGTTAAGCGACACAGAACTGTCCAATCTTTTATAGCCTCTTGTGTAGAAAGCAAGAGAAGCCTTGAAGCGAACTGCAGAGATCAAAAGATTAAGTTACAAGTACAGGTACCCTGGCTGCAATATGGTTTAGACATTACTTGCTATTAAACAACTCACTGAAGACATTCTGTACCAGATTTTCACCATCTTCGGTCCAGCTGACCTGGGATTTTGCCCAAAAGAGATGCAGAGAGCTCCATCTACAGGGATCCTGGGCACATGCCACCTCGAACTTCCCAAAAACGCAGGGAAACTCCTCCCTGTTGTTCTGAGCTTTAGTGAGAAGTGGAATTGCTGCCTGCCAGCAAGGACTGACAGCAACAGGTCTCACACGAGGCTCCACCTAAAACTGACAACAAAATATACACACAGAAGTTAAAGAACTTTTAAAGAATTTTCCTCAAGTCATTCGTAGGAACAAAGTGGTTGATTTAGGAGTTTGGCTATTTAAAAACTTTTTAATCTGGAGTTTTGTGCCTGAACTTCTGACACTGTATTCGTTCTGTGGGAGTCACACCTCACTGTTCACTTTGCTCAGGTCACAAATCAACCACAATTCATTCTCCAGTGCCTGGGGACCTGGGACATCAGAAAAGTTGGGTCCTAAAACACTGAAATTGTTGAGTCCCAGTTAACTGAAACACTCCTCATAAATCCAAAATTCTTTATCATTAGTGCTTAAAATTATCTCTAAATTGTGGCGGTGGGTTTTTGGGTGGGATTTTATTTTGATAGACTCATTTCTCTGCTAATTCAGCTTCTGACACAATCCATGTCTGAGGCCAAAGCCTAATCATGCAGCTGATTAGCATCAAAAACCTGTCTGGGGGGAAGGGGCTTTAGAAAAGAACATTCTTATCCTCAGCAAACATCGAATATTTGAATTCCAGTGATGGCTTCAAATGTTCTTTAAAAATAACTGATGAAAAATTCCCAGAAGCTCCAGCAGGGAAAACACAAGGCAAGCAGCCACGCAGTTATGACCAGTGATGTAGTAAAACGCAGAAAACTCCCAAAACCATCACTTTCCCCAAAACCACAAAAAACTCACCCACCCACCTTTCCACTGGCATAAGGCAGTAAAAAACCTGTCAGACAGATCTAAACAGAGTAAAAGCAAAAAAACTCCACAACCTTCACTTGCAAAGAGTGGGCAGGAGCAAAACACAAAAATACATCATTTGCTCGGAAATTAACTTGCCAGATTTGGATCTTCTGCGGCACAAACTGCACCAGAGTCTGCAGCCAGAGCTAACAGGAGTTCTCCCCAGGAGCCTGACTTCCACCTTGCTGCTGTTTCCAGTTTGTGACTCTGATTCATAGCCTTGGATTTCTTGGAGGACCGCGTGTTTTGGAAAACCTGTCAGAGGCAGATTAATGTCGGACCAATGGCAATTAAAGAAAAATACAGCAGCATCTGCTTTAACAGATGCTTCTTGAGAAACATTTTAATCCTTGTGATGTAACACATTCTTCTAGATTTTTTTGCTTTTACTTCAGTAGAACTCAGGAAAAAACAGGAAAAAGCTGAGCAAATAACATCAGACCAGCTCCTAAGATGTGGCCAGTCTTCATTTTGCCGTTATCTTCGTGGTGCTACCTTACTTCTAAGACAAGAAATTTTAAAAGAGTCACCAGTTTTGGGGTTCTTCACATGAAATACTCTTATACATATTATTAGCCAAAGGTCGAGGCACAAGAAAATCAAACTAGACAGTCCAAGTCTCAGTGAGCACTAAACTCTGAATTAGAGAAGCACTGGACTTCAATATTTACAGACCAAAGTAACCGTGCAAAACTTATCCCTGAGGAAGATTATACCAAAAGTCCCCAAACAGAAATTGCAAACTTTGTATAAAAATAAATTTATTTCTTAACAGTGGGAACGGGGATTTTATTCACCATCTTCAGCATTCAGAGACTCTCTTCCTTCACGGGGAAAGAGGAGTATCATCAGGAAGCCACGATGTAAATATGCAGATGACAGTGGTATCAAACACTCTGGGAAGAAACCCCTGAATTAAGCTGAGAGTTATAGGTGGGCTTCGAAATATTTTATATTTCTATTAACTTACAGACATTTTAAAACACATCTATTGTTTTATATCCTGTGGCAATATTCCCCTCTCTCTCAGAGTCTTTTTTTGCCGTGCTAAGTTTGAGTGTTCGAAATCTGCACTCCTGATGAACTGTCTGTGGATTCTCTTGGAACCAGGAGTGCATATATCCGTTGTAGAAGTCAACTGCTGTAAGCTTCTTCTTTAATATGACTGTTTTGATTCCAACCCAGCCTTCCTAGAAATAAAACCAAATAAAAATGGCATAAGATTCTTCCATGTTTTAAAATCATCTTCAGCTCTCACTGGCTGGCTTACAGAATACATTTTATTTAATGTGATCAGGCTTACAAGTCAAATTCTTGCTTGCAAGTGCAAAGCCTGTTAGTGGAAATTAAAAGTTTAAGGTAACAAACGAAAAGTCATGTGCTAATCTAAACTAGTAGAGAGAATAACAGTGGACAATTAAAACAAAAGTTATGCAACACACAAATACTAAAAACCTCATCTTTGGGACAGTGAATATAAAACAAAGGGGAAAAGCCTACCTTGCATCGAACTATCAGTGTTTGGGACACTTTATGGAACAGCAGTGAACCAGGAACAGCTTCACAGTCATTTACTGTTTGATCTAAAAACAAAACAAGATCATCTTGCATTTTTAGGCCAACAAGCACAGAGAAAGTTTGAAACAATTCCGTCTCTTTGAAGCATGATAACAATCTTGAGTCAATATTTTGCTCAAAAATATTTTATTGTATTCTGTGTTTTATTATAACCAAATGAGCAGGAAGAATCAGAACAGTCACTCTCTGGCACTGCATCTGATCCATGAACATTCACTAACTCTGTTTGCTCTGGCACACCCCTCAGCCCACATGGCGCTCACATTCCTGCAGAAAACGGTTACAAAATGTAACTTAACAGATTAATTTAAAAGTAAATACCAGCAAAACCAGGGATATCATCCACTTCCACAAAATCCAGAAGTTTAACAGTAGTGTCCTTCCAGAGTGTCTGCAAAGGAAACTGGAAACAGAAGCAGATGACACAGTGAGAATATATTCACAATTTCCAGGCAGCTGTCTAGTTGTTTGTTTTTTTTTTTTCTCAAGCAAAATATCTGTGATAATAACATTAGGGGAAAATTTATATATATGTCTAAATAGAAGACTTTCCTTGTTCATCCTTGTCTCTAACCATCAGCACATGCAGAACTGAGTTAAGCAATTAGCTAAAACAGCCCTTTCATTGCAGCTGTTTGCACTGTTTGCTCTCATGCAGAGATGTCACTGCAGTGCTTTAAACACTCCCAAACACACCAGGAGAAATCTCAGAGCTAAGGGAACAATATAAAATTACTGAGCTGATTTCACACTTGGCATCAAGTTCATTCATTCCACCTCCAATGCTAAACAACTACCAGGATTTTAAAACACATGCTGAGTTACGGAGGCTAGAATAACTAAACTTGAGGTTTAGTCATCAGTTAAAATATCTACACCAATCTCAGCCATGCTAGAGGTCAGAAAAGGGTTCAAAAAAATCCACTGTCTTACCATACTTCCTATTGCACGATGCAGTTGAATTATTTGTGTAGCTGTTTGCTCCTCCCATTTTATACAACTCTTTGCTATAGAGATTTTAGGAGCTAAGGGGGGGAGAAAACAAATTTAGGAGATTTAATAGTTTGCTTTGCATCTTTTTGCAAAAACAAACAGCCACAGGTACCTCAGACAACAACTGGAGAAAAGGTTTTGTAAAAACCTCAATTTGGATTATTTATATTTTATTCTCAGTTGTTCTCTTATTTATCCATTGAACTGCAAACTGACAACATGTTTACAAACACAGCTGTAACCCTTTTGTCTGCATTACAAGCACGAAGAATAACAAACTCAGATTTTGCGACATCACCACTGATTTTGATATTGTACAAGCCACTCAAAAAAAATAAACTTAACACAGTAAGCCTGGAGAACTCTGAAGCATTTTTAAGCCAGAGAAGGCAGTGAAGAGACCATACTGAGAAAGGAATTTAAAAAAAAAATACAACCCAGCACAGCAGGAAACTTAGTTTTCCAGCTGATAAAAGAAAAAAAATGAACAAGTCCCATTAAATAGGATGTGTACCTACCAAATGTTACTCCTTCTTTTGGCTGCTCCTTCTTGTTTTTTAAGCTTTCAGGCAAGTTTTTCAAAACTGCCAACAGCTGCAAAATCAAATTTTGAACAGGGTTATTAGCCAAGCTAAGTTTAAGCAATAATAAACAAAGTAAAACTCAATTTCTCGATAGTGAAACTTTCTTGTGAGCTTTTAGAAAACTGAGTAAGTATATAAGACTTGTATCATACACACAGATACACTAAAGGCATCCTTCCCACTGAATTACAACTGAAATGGATTATATCCTCTCAGATATTTATTCCAGAACAGGATAGAGGCTAATTATTAAGATTGAAAAAGTAGATATTCACTTCAATGAAAGAAGAACCTGCACTGTTTCCATACACAACACTTGTGTTCTTCACTGAATAGAAGCAAAACAGCAACACCCAGGACCAACAGCAACAGGTGATCACAGACCACTCAGCTCTCAGCAAGGCAAAGTGCTCACAAACACCAGGTTTCAGATCATTCTCCTTTTAAAGGGGCAGTTAACTCAGAACAAGACTGCTAAGAATTCTGTTTGCACGTGTTCAAAGCAAGGTACCAATCAGAAGTGCCAGTGCTGGCAGGACTTTACCATGTCTGCACCCAGCTTTGCCAACATCCCCTCCAGCTCCTGTGCTGTACAGCGGGGAGGAACAGCCACCTCTTCCTGCTTAATAATTGGACCTACATCAAACCTGCGGGGAAGAAAACCCGTGAGTCCACTGGAGGAGCTGAAACTCAGTTAGTTCAAAACCCTACACTCAGTGCATTAACTCAGTGACTAATTACCCTTTTTCCCCCCTCTGAAAGTATTTTCCACACGTCATTTCACATTATCAGATAACGTTTGGTTCACAAGGCAACACAGGGAAGAGAGTACCAGATCTGTCTCAGCAACAAGATTCACCTCAGCAGGCTGAGGCTGATATGAACACACAATTTACAGTTCAGAGCATGAGATCTCAGAAGAAACAGCCTGAAGCACTCAGATGAAATTTTTTTTGCACTTTCCTAAGATCTATAATCAGACAAGCACGTGAGAAAGAGAGGATAACTAGGATAATGTGTTTTCACAAGCCTTTTAAGCCAGAGTTTGGGCTGAAACTAAACCATATAAACGGTCTCATGCCTAGACAGGAAATTATTTGTCCTCTGTTCACTTACAGATAGTTGCAGGTGACTCTGAAGTCTGAGAACCAGACCTTTTATGTCCTGTCATACCAAGTCTATTGTGTGACTGTTCTGTCTGCTCCCTGTAATAATGCTAAGAATTAGAGAACAGGCCTGGCGTGCAAATTACACAACTCACTAAAATACTGCATTTGTGACAAATCTCATATGGTCAGATGAACATTTCTAAGTGTTTCTAATTTTACACACACATTAAATAATAGTCATTATATAGACCGATTTAAATTATTACTTCAGTGGTGATGTTTTCAAGTCCTGAGAGGCAACAACAGCAGTGAGTTGCTTGGAAAGCACGTCAGACCTACCTTTTTGGTCTTATTTCCATAATTGTCACCCCAGTCACCTTATCACCATGGAGCACCGTGTGGACTATGGGTGCAGGACCACGCCATCGTGGGAGACAGCTGGGATGGACGTTCAGTACACCACTGAAATGAAATAATTCAAAGTTAGAATAGGAACAAGTATATATATCTTTATGTATATTTGAAGCATACATTAGTGGGTGTGCAGGGAATATTAGAGTGCAACTACTTAAACAATTATCTGCTCAGACCACCTGAAGTGTTACTGGCTTAAATATACACCTAGAGGAAAATTCACACTCTATAAGCTTCAGCTTCTCAGCAAACACAGACAGAGAGATGAGAGGAATAAACGCAAAGACATTCTGCTGAATGTTTGCACAAATTTACATCAGTGTGTTAAAGGACAACGAACCTCCCATCCCAGGCTAAAAGTCACAGGTGCTGACTCAAAAGCAGAGCACAGTGACAGATGTCCTGTCCCCTCACTTACTATGGGAACTGCAGAATCAGGTCCTCGCTCAGGAGGCGCCCGAACGATGCCACCACGCCCACATCGAACTGCCCCGCGGGCCCCGTGTGCGGCCACTCGTGCAGGGGCAGCTGGAGCTCCCGGGCACAGCTCCTCACGGGCAGGTCCCGGGGCAGGCGGGACGGCAGGGTCACCACCTCCAGCCGGGACACGAGCGGGTCCTCGCTGGGCTCCCTGGGTGGGGGGAAAAGGAGTTGAAGGCCTTGTAAATGCAGTGCAAAGGAGAGGCGAGGGCTGGGTCACTCCAGCCCTCGCTGTGCCCCAGTGCCGTTCCACAGCACCTGCCCCTCCACCTCTCACCCCCTCCTTGGTGCCCCTTCCCTGACCCTGCCCTCAGCCCCCTCACCAGCCCCCACGGGCTCTGTGATGCTGGCCCATGGACCGACTAACGCCGCCGCGGTCCGTGTGCCACCCTCAGGCTCCTTCTCCTCCTCTTCCCAACCACCCTCTGCCCAACCCACGGTCCCGACCCCTCCTCATCCCCCCTGAGTGACCCCTGAGTCCTGTCACCGGCCTCGTGTGCCATCCCTCAGCGTTCAGCCCTCCCTCACCCTCCACAGCCCCTCAGGCTCCGCGCCCCTCAGACCCCGACTCCCCCCTCAGGCCCGTGTCCCCGCTCCGGCGGCGGTACCCGGCGGCCCGCAGCGCTCGCAGGGCGGTGACGGCGAAGCGGTCGGTGCCGAAGAACAGGATCCGCCATGGCGGGCTCCCGGCCCAGGCGCGCAACAGCCGGGCCCGCATCGCGGGGCTCCCCGCGCGCGGCGATGACGAGCCGGGACCCGCCCCGGGGCGGGGCCGCCCCTCAGCGCTGAGGGCTTGTTCTGCAGCGGCGGTGGATCCTGCGGGATTGGGATATCCCGAGCCGCGAGGGACACGCCGGGATCGTGGGGTCCCGCTCCTGGCCCCGCGCAGGACACCCCGACATGTTGTCCAAGCGGTTCCTGAGCTCGGGCTCGGTGCTGTGAGCACTGCCCCGGGGAGCCTGTTTCGGTGCCCGCCCGCCCTCTCGGTGAAAACACTCCTCCTGATATCCAGCCTGAACACCTCCCGCCCCGACTCAGCTTCATGCCGTTCCCTCGGGTCCTGTCACTGAACAGATCGGTCCCTGCCCCTGCACTGCCCCTCCTGAGGATGTTGGAGACCCCCATGAGGTCGCCCCTCGGTCTCCTCCAGGCTGAAAAAGCCAAGTGGCCTCAGCCGCTCCTCATGAGGCTTCCCCTCCACACCCTTCACCATCCCTGTGGCTCTCCTTTGGATGCTCTCCAATAGTTTAATGTCTTTTCTGTATTTTGGTGCCCAAAACTGCCCCCAGGGCTCAAGGTGAGGCCGTGCCAGTGCAGAGCAGAGCGAGACAATCACCTCACTGCCCCAGTGATGCTCTGCCTGATGCCCCCCAGGACACGGTGTGCCCTCCAACTGGCCACCGACCAAGACCCCCAGGTCTCTTCCTGCAGCTTCTCTCCAGCCTCTCATTCCCCAGTCTATACACACAGTCAGGACTGCCCTGTCTCAGGTGCAGAATCTGACACTTGCCCTTGTTAAACCTCATACTGTAGAACTGTAGAATCATAGAATATTAAGGGGTTGGAATGGATCTCATTAGTGCATATAAATATCTCAAAGGTGGGCGCCAGCTGTCTCAGACTTCTTTTCGGTAGTTCCCAGTGACAGGACAAGGAGCAATGGCCATAAACAACATCACAACAAGTTCCACCTCAACACGAGGAAGAACTTCTTTACGCTGAAGGTGGCAGAGCACTGGAACGGGCTGCCCAGGCAAGGGTATGGAGTCTCCCTCTGGAGACATCCTGAACCCACCTGGACATGTTCCTGCCTTGCCTGCTCCAGGTGACCCTGCCTTGGTAGGGAGGTTGAACTGGATGATCTCCAGAGGTCCCTTCCAACCCTGACATCTCTGTGATTCTGTGATCATGGTGTGGGGTGGTGGGGCTGTCAGGGCAGCCCTCAGTGCCTGCATTGCTCTGACAGCTCCAGCCCCGAGTGCTCCCAAGTGCTGGGGGTGTCGGTGCTCCCAAGCGGCGTCACCGTGGCCACAGCCCTGTAACCTTGACCATGAATTGTCTGTGCTGCCTCAGTGCAAAGATAACGTGGAAAAACACTGTGGGCAGAAAGGGGTGTTGACCCCGCAGCCACTGCTCTGACAGCGTTTGAAAAGCTGATTTAATTGTCTGCCTCCATGGACAGCTCCGTTTTAAGAGTGACAATAACTCAAAGAATGTTTTCTTGTAAACCATGGGGTCAGAATCGCCACTTGAAGAACTGTCTTCTCCCATAACATAAGTATGAAAATATTTTATCATTCTGCTAAGAACATTCTTTCCCCGCATGGGAAGATGGTTTATTTGTGTAGCTTTTAATGTAAATCACATACACAGATTCCCTTGTGCATCTAAATCACAGTTTATCCTACAGTCTTTGCAACTAGCAATTTCTGCAGCAGGGAGTGTGAGAATCTGGAAACATTTCCTATATGCCAGTGAAAACATGCAAATTAATTGGAAAATGAATAGTAGAATTTTATGTTGGATACACGAGGGAAGGATCAAAAAGGAAAGTAAAATTTTGTGCCACTCTAAACAATTCATTCCCTTTTTCATTATGGTTTTCTTCTCTCAGACACTGAGGATGCCACTATTTTCAGTGGTAAAAACACAAGAAAACTAATGAGAAAGGGCTGTTACATGTTAAAAAAAAAATTGAGCCAGGTCATTCTAACTGAGATGCTTCCATTCCTGCACACTGAAAAAAGGAGGATATGCCACCAAATAGAGATGTAATTTCCTAACCAGTATGTAAAAATCAGTTGCTCAAAAGAACTTATAATTTTCTATTACTTTGTAAATCCCATAAAAATCCTCAGCTCGGTTGTGTGCAGGACACTCTTCAATTCCACAGTTCCAGCTGCCTCATCTCAGTGCACAGATGAAAGGATACAGTAAAAAATAAATAAACATAGAAACAAGAGGGTAGCTGAAAAATTTGACCACATAATACCTCAGATGCTGGAAAGTACTCCTGGCTTCCAGGGCCATGCTGAGCAGTCACTGGCTGGAAGGCTGGAAGGAAAAGTCCTGTGTGGTGACAGCAAATACCAGTTCTCTGAGGTGTTGGGTGAAGGCCTGGATTTATTACCAGCACTTCAGAAAGGCCAGTGAGGGACATGTGTGTCTGGATGGCCCAAATGCCACCCAAAATCTGGGAGTCTGAACCCAGAATCCAGCTGCTGCTGGGTGTTCATTTCCAGGTATCAGCACCAATGTGTGGAGCTTCACTTGCTGCTCCTCCAGGACTTAAACCCTGGAGATGGAATCTCACCTCTGGCTGTGGTTAAGGCTCCTGGAAATACTGTAACTCTGTGCTGAACTTTTGCCAGATTTATACATGAAGTAATTAAAGTTTCATTTGTAGTGAGTTTATGAGGTGGACTTAAATTCCCCCCAGTACACTTTCTCCCAAGTGATTCATCCTTGGCTCTGATACTACTGCACAGTTCAAACAGATTATGCCTGTTTTATACCTTGGACACAGTGTACATGCATTTTAACTGAAGATTTATCTTGATAATAAATTTTTTTTCAGAATGAAAGCAATTATCTGTTTGTTTCACAAAAAAAAAAAAATTAAAAAAATTCTGGCTTTTCTGCTGCATTTGAACTCTGCTTTTGTACATGGAAAGAAAAAAAAAACACAACAAACCAACTCTGAAGGTTTAGTTATTCTGTAACCAGGCATTTCAGGTCAAAGACACTGAAGAGGTCGAAACAGATAAGCAAAATTAAAACACCAAGGTCAGACAAGCTCTTCCCAAGAACAGTGAAGACAAATCCGAGGAGGAAGCAGAACACAAATCAACATCTTATCTCCACTTTACTTGCTGGCCAAGACACTGGAAGTGTCTCCAAGAAGTAAAAAGATATCTCCCATTAACCAGTGCCAGTGTTGTCAGGGGAGACACAAAATCAAACAGGGGAGACACAAAATCAAGCACTCACAGCCTTGCTGAAGAGGTTTCTCCTGAAAGCATTCACGGTTCTCTGGAAAAGGAGGGGATTTCTGGGCACAAGAGCCAACTGCAACCAGTGGGAAACTGGTTTTATTTCTGTGTACATCATGCTGAGTCCAGCTCAGCCGCTTCCCTGCATCCTGCTGCTATTTTTGGGGGGGTTATCATGGGTGGAAGAGGAGCTGCTGTGCTGATGCACCAAGGCTTGGCCCTGACCCAAAGCCAGAAGATTTGGTTGTGCAGCTTGTGAGACCTTTCCCTGTACGTCTTCCCTGGCACTGCAAAGGTCGTAGGGGCACTGGGAAAGCCTTCCCTACCGTGATGGCACTTTTTAAATGATCCTGCTTGAAATGCAGAGGAAAGACAGAGCAATTCACAGTATGGTGGGATGTCCCAGCTGGAGCTGCCTCCCCCAGCAGAGAGCAGCTCTTGTTTCCTGGAGGATGCATTTCTGAGCTCCCATCTGATCGCTGCCAGGCTGAGGCTGAGCAGTGAAACATCTGTTTGGGGAGTCCAGGTCTGCTGGATGAGATTCCACAGGGGCAGCCAGGGAAGCTCTGATGGGGATGTGAGATAGGATTCGAAGGATTAATTGCACCGGAGCAAAGCTTCAGTGCCAAAGATCACAGAATCATTAAATGGTTTGGGTTGGAAGGGACCTTAAAGATCATCTCATTCCAAACTCTTGCCAGGGGCAGGGACACTTTCCACTAGATGAGATTGCTCCAAGCCCCATCTGACCTGGCCTTGAACACTTTATTTCAAGGAAAACACTGAGAACAGGACAAATATAAGGGCACTGTGCCCATCTCCAGTTAAGCTGGAGCTAACCAGTGCTAGCTGTGTGCTCCAAACCCATCACTGAGAGGCATCCCGTGTGGTTTGCAGTTCCATCCACGAACCAGGTAGTTCAGGGAGGAGGAATCCTCCTTTCCCAAGGTGGCTGGCACAAAAAAGCAGCTCATCAGCCTGCAGAGCCTCTTAGCAGACTATTGACTTAGCCAGGTGTTGCCAGTGCCTGTGAAACAGGGATGGCAGAATCTCTGATAGGTGAAAAGCTTTGTACTTCGCCTGCAAAGTTTGTTGCTCTGGTAAGATACTCTGAGAGCCTTAGAATAACCATCCACTTAAAAAAAAAAATAAATAAATAAAGGGATAATATCTGCTTTATCAGGACGTGCTTCCTGTGTGCAATGAGGGACCGAGGCAGGCGGAGCGAACATTATCTTTAACTCCGGGGTAACTTATTACTGAGTGTCATTCTACTCAGTGTGCTCTTTTAATACTGATTGTGCCAATAGCTTGAGCAAATAGACTGGAAGTTCCTACGGTTCATTCTTTGGGAAAAGGTCGTTCACCTCGCGCTGTAAATGGTCCCACTAAAGAGGTGTGTTTTCTTCGGGGGCCGGAGTGTACCTCACCTCTTGGACTGGCCTTCACACATGACTCAGGGGCAGAGTGAATCACAGCTCGCAGCACATCCCGAGCAGGAGGACAGGAAACCCTGGCACCGCATTGCCACGGTGACACTGCCACTGACGGGAGCTCGGAGGAGACGTCTTGGGATGGCAGGGCTGACAGAAGAGATGTAGCTTCCTCCCTGCTGGGAACTGCCTGTTTCTGGTGAGTTAGAGGAGATCAACGGGCATTCCTGCTGCTCCAGCGGCTGGGTTAATTTACAGCTATCTGTAAAGAAAGGCTTATTTATTTATTCCAGCTAGAAAGCTGAAATCCTTGGAAATTTTAAGTGAAGGCTGCTTAAGGGGAGACTGTCTGAATAGCAAGTGAGAAGCAGGCTGGGATAACTCCTGCCTATAAAAGCCTGGGAAGCAGTCAAAGGAAAATTTATAATATAACTCAGATTTGCTCTTTAACTTTTGACTTTACAATGGTGAACAAAGAGCAGAGACTGCCTTCTTGCTTTAATATTTTGAATATTAAGTATTTTTTCTTGTGTTCTTTAATGGAACTCAGTGCTTAATGTACTTCTATAAACCAGCCCATCCATTTCCATCTCTCTGGTGTGCCATTGTATATCCCCTACGAATCCCAAAGACAGAGCATCCCACTTTTATACTGTATTTGGAACAACTGCCGCATTTTAATGCCACCAGTTAAGATAAGATAATCACCAGAGAGAGTCTGGATGACAAGAGGAGACTGTTTTTAGAAAGACTGGTATGTTCTAAATGCATTGTCCCACATTGTGTAGTGAGTATTGAGCAGAGAGTCCAGAGGGATATTATCACTGATGGTTTTTCCAGAATATCAGACCTGGCAAAAACCACCATCAAAAGCACAGGGTGGTTTCACAGCGCCACGTGCTGTGCCCTGGCTGGAAGGAGTCCACGTGCAGCTGGGGACGTGTGTGTGTTCCCATGTTCCCACATGGCAAGGGCCCCTCGCTGGGTTTTGCCAAACTTTAGAGCCCCAGTCCCTCAGCTCTGCCTTCTGCATGTGGTGGCTCTCAGATCTCCAAGGGCTTCCATTATGAGAGAGGATTTTAGCATTTAAGTGCTGGGATCAATGCACAGAGCAAAAAAAAGCAGTCACTTGCCATTTTTCTGTGATTTCTTGAGATTTCATTGAACGCTACCAAAGTCCACAGATCCATAGGAGGATTTAGGACAGATATGGTGAATAACTCTCCGTTCCTAAAATACACACAGCATTACAGACTTTGCAGCTTTTGATGTGAAAATACCATTTGCAAAAGAAAGAAAATAACAGAAACGTCCAGGTGTAAATATAAACTCAAAATAACACGGGTAAAATGTTTCCTTGAGAGGTCTTGGTCTCTGTTCTTTCTGCTTCCTTCCACACAAGCATAAATGCATCAGCTCTCTCTCATTTGAGCTTCCTGTGTTGTACCTGAGTTGGGAAGCAACCTCAGAAGGGTCTTGGGGATAGGAGACCAAAATATGCAGCTTGGAGTTGCAGGATCCAAGGGCTCATCCCCATCCCTCAGCAGCCAGAGTCACTGCTGAGATGTGCAGGCAGCGATGGAGAGGAACATCCCCCACGCTCTCCCAGCTCCTCTGGTGGAGCAGTGCTCACCCACACCGGGGTGTGGGCAGCAGGACAGAGCAGCTGTGTGGGGGAGGCTGGAGGAGATGTCTCTGAAAATCTCTCTTTCAGGCTGGAAGATCCAAACTCACCAGAATTTTGGGGCTTGCTGTTTCCTTACTGTGAAGCTGGTGGTGCAGGCAGAGTTCTGGATCCTGCTCAGGCTCTCCTCTGGGCTGGCCTGAGAACACTGTTTTGGAGCTTTGACCAATGAAACTAGTTTGGTTAGTGTGATGTAGGGGTAAAAGATCTGTAAAATAAGAGGAGTTTCCTTTAAAGTACTTTACCGAAATTTCCTGTTAAGGCACCATAAATATCCGTTCTGCTGCTGTGTTGTACCTGAGAAGTTCTGGCCTCCCACCTCTGGGGAGACTTGGCAGTTGGTCACTAAGAAGCAGTGAAGTACTTCCAGCAGCTTTCCAGCATCCCTGCTGTGCATGGACACCGGGAGGTGGCCCACAAGTTATGAAACACCTCAGGAGAAAATCAGCACCATGCTTGTCAAATATTTCTGTTCATGCAAATGATTGGTCAGAAGCCTTGCACAGCAAGATTGAACACGTTCAAGTGCCACTTCTTATTACGGCGTAGGCGAGTTGTAACTTATTTTCATTGGCACCAAGACTTTATTTCCTCCTTCGTGAGGGGTGATGCATGTGAACAAGGTAAAGGTTACCTGGACGGGAAGGCAATTGGCACATCTCACTGCAGGGAGCAGCTTTACCCACATTTTCTGAAATACAAAGCCGACCACGTAAGTACTTGAGAGTCCCCTCCTCAAAGAATTGCTAGCAGGTGGTTTTTTTCTGGCAGTAGGGAGCAAGCCTGCATGCCTGGTTGGCTGTAAAATGTGAACTTTGAATTGTGAAGACATTGAGAATGGGGGCTAAATAGTAGCAATCATTAGGTCTATAACCGAGGGGACAAATGCTTCCCCGAGGAGTCAGCAGCAGCGTTGCTGACACGCCTGGCGGGGTGGAACATGGCCATGAGCAATCTCCAGGGAACAGTTTCAGACAGCTCCAGGCCACACAGCAAAGGCAGGTGAAAGTTGAGAGTATGGGGCTGTCGTAAAAGCGTTCATGTAATAATTAATGGCCCGTGGGGCCAGAGTGCACGTGTGTTGTGGTGTCGTTGACCTGCCAGTGCGTGATGGTTCAGGTGAGGCCAGCGAGCTGTGGGCTGGGGAGAGCCAGCTAAACATCTCACCAGTTCACAGTGGACAGACAGGAACACCTGCTCAGGGCAGGTCCCTCCAAAGGAGGCTTAAGAAATAATTCGGACAAGAAGCCATAAAAGCTGGATTGATGCCGTTGGCAAATGAGGGACTAAAGGTCAAGGAGGAGCTTTCTGCTTCCCTGAGGGATGGGAGACACCCTAACCTTGATGGCAAGCTGGCCTTGCCTCTTCTTGGAGCTCAGCCCTCCACTTCCTCGTCTCCACGCCCTTATTCTGCCATCCATGGATTGGCAGCAGGTAGGCACTGTCCAAAGCATGTGCTCTCTGTGGATCGTGTCAGGGGAGCAAGGAGGGAAGCTTAGACAGTTTGTTGAGGGGCTGGCTCACAGCAGCTGAGCTCACAGCTCGTGGGGTCACCTGGGCAAGGGGCCCAACCCCAGGCAGCAGACCCTGTGCCACACCCACTGTCTGTCACCTCAGTGGCTCCCAGATTTCTGCACCCTGTCCTGGCAGCTCAGACTCACATTCACAGGAGAAAGCACGCCACAGCTGCAGGGGTGCATGAGGTCCCCTCTCTGAACACAGAGCTGGAGCAGAGAGGGGAATCAGGTTATCCCTCAGCTCCTTAGTTTCTTTCTGTCTTTCCCAGGCATCTGCACACTGAAGAAACACTGGGGAAGATGCGATCCGTTCCAGCTGCATATACAAATATGAAGATCTTCTGGATAATCCCGTTTTTCCTGCTGCAAGGTAGAGTCTTGGCTTGGGGGATAATGGTGTGGGTGAAGTAGGTGACATGTGCAAAGACCTTAACTTCCTGGAAATATGGTTTCTTCCTCTCTCTGGGCCCATTTTCCTCCATGTACACCAGCAACAGCCTGGCTCAGCCGTGGGAAAAGCTGCCCCCCCAGTTCCAGAACTGGGAGTCATCCCCATTTGCACTCTGTGTGTGTGTCTGTGTGTCCTGTGCTTCGGGGTTGGCCGCACTCATATGTTGTTTTCTTTGCAGGCACTGAAGCTTTTCTGATAAAAAATGCTAAATTCAACCTGTGTTTACAAGCCAGCCCGATAAATAGGAATTTATTGCTGGAGAACTGTAATCCAGAGTCAGATTTCCAGGACTGGTCTTGGCAAGGCGACTCTTTGGTGAATCACGGCACGCAGAGCTGCCTCTCCGTGTCGGGGGCCGACAGAGTGCAGACAAGTCTCTGTGCCAGCACAGCCTACACGAGCTGGGACTGCTCCAACTCTCTGCTCTCACCTCTGGGTACCAGCCAGAGCTACCTGGTGGCAAGCAGGAAAGGAGTTGCTCTCGGTGATGTGAGAGGCCTCAAGGCCCAGTGGCAGGATGCTGCGGACAGGAGCGTGTGCGAGGAGAAAACCGGTGAGTGCTGCTTGCCCAAGGACCAGTGGTGGGGACACCTGCACTGTTGGGGAACGTGAACAGGCCCTGCCAGCATCCTGGGGCCTTTCCAACCCTGGTGCTCCACCGGGATGGGGTCTGCAGCCAAAAATGCTCTCCACTTCTCTGTGTGTGATGAGGTCAGGCTGTGCCCTCAGGGCTGGGTTCTGCCTGCTTGGAGAGACGTGCTGGGCAGCTCTGGGAGTGAAGAGGAGGGTCATCTCCAATCTGACGGGCTCCTGTGAGTGACCATTGCATCTTTCTGCTCTTTCCTCCCCAGCCAAGGCAGGGCATCCCAGGTACTTCCCAGCTGCCCTGACCAGCCCACAGATGCATGAGCACACAGCAGGCAATGCCAGCCTTCTACCAGGCATGGACCAGCAACAGCTGGAGGAGCTGCTCTGGTTCTTCCGCAGAGAAGACCGTAAGTGCTGTTGGTGTTCCTGTGTTGAGACACAGCCCTTGGCTGTTGACTCTCCTGCCTAAAAGAGATGCCCAAGGGAATTACCTGAGGAGGGGATTTACCCCAGACACACAAAGCCTCAGTCTCACCTCCGGTGAGAAGAAGCAGGCCATGGCTGAAGACAGGCAGGAGGATTTGCTGAGATAATGTCTCCTCCCAAAGCAGGATTCGGCCTCTCTGCAGGCAGAGCCTGCCAAGAGAGCAAAGGTCTGGGGTGACCAGTGATTTTGGCAGGGTGGAGGGAGCAGATTGATATGAGGGGGTCAGTGCCTCGAGGATCAACTTCAAAGCCCCAAAAATCAAGGACGGAGTCCAGGGTGGAGCATCCTGGGTGTCCTCAGGAAACGCCTGGCTGTGCTATGTGGGTCACTCTGTGCTATGCCTGCTAATGCTGCCTCTCTGCTTTCCCCAGCCTCAACATGGAATTACTCTGTCCTCGCGCTGTCCCTCGCAACCTTCATTTTGGGTCTTGTTCTCCTGACCATTAACATTGTGCGAAACAGGTGAGGTGGGAAAATCTGGGGATCTTTTGGTGTGTGGTGGTGTGCTGACCGCCCCCTCTCAGGCAGACAGACAGAGGGGTTTGGCAGGGCAGGACAAGCCCCGATTGATGGGGAGAAAAGCAAAGACAAACTCCCTTTGAAGGGTATTTTCTTAGAAAATCTTGCCTGATCCCTGCTCTCCTGACGTGTCACTTGGAACAAGCCACTTCCCTTCTCCAAGCCCTGGATCCCCAGCAGTGAAGGGTCTGCACAGCTCTGCTCAGCCCAGCAGGGCTGCTGGGAGGGAAGTGACCCCAACTGTGTGGTGTGAGGTGCCCTCCCATATGTGCAGAGGCTCTGGACAGGACTCCCAGCCTTTCCCCATCAGCATTCCACGCTGTTCCCCTGTTGCTGCACAACAACTCTGCAGCTGAGGAGCAACTCACTGTTTGCTACAGCATGAAAACTTACCTCTGGGTCAGAGCTGTCATCTTCAGAGGAGAGGAGAGCTAATGCTCTGAGCCTGCCAAGCTCTCCCTCTAGTGCTGGCTGGGTGCTGCTCCTGGCATGGCGAGCTCTGTGCTCTCTAAGTGGGAATCCCACAGCTGTGTGTGCTCCAGCACTTCAGAGCACTTACCTGACAGGGTGCAGCTGGTGGGGTTTGCCCTGGTGTGTTCCAGGGACACGGTGCAAAATGAGGGCTGTGACAAACACCGGGGTACTTGCCCCCAGAAATGGGCTATGCTTGCTGCTTCCTCCACATGGCCTTGTTGTGCCTTCCCTGTAGGAAAAGGAAAATCCTCATGAGCAGAGATGCAGGGCAAACCCCGCTGCAGGCTGAGCTGGATGCCAAGAAAGCCCTGATACCTGCGCAGGAATACAGGCCAGATGAGCCACAGAAACAGGAGCCAGTGCCCCAGGACCAGAGACCTGGAGACGTGGTGGTTCAGTGGAAGGATGGGACCGTCACCTCCCTGTATACGGATTCGTCTGAAGAGGCCCTATAGCAGCAGCTGAAGTCAGACCATACAGGCCCTAAGGAAGGTATTGGAATATCTCATTTTGTAGGGATGGAAGTTTAAAAATGCAGTTCAGCCTGGGGAAAGAAAAAACAAAGAGAAGAAAGCAGCAGAGTTGCACCCAGAGGAGAGGCCCTGGGCTCGAGGCAACCCCTGCCTCCCCAGCTCAGCTCTTGCCTGGCTGATGTTCCCCTGCAGGTCTTGGCTGCTTCCAGCCTTCCCTCTGGCACCAGCTTCACCCCTTCCCTCAGGTGCTGCAAACAGCTGGGAGCTGGGCCAGGGCAGGAGGTGGGAGGCTTGTCCTGCAGTCATCCACTTCCCGTCAGGAAAACAGCCACACTGAAGCTGAGGCACTTTTGTTCCTTTCAGAAATCATCTTTATTAAAATACTTTCCAAAGAGGTTGATCGAAATCCCATATTGAATCTCTCTCTGTCAGTAAGGTCATATATATATATATATATATACATGGATATATGTACAAATATACACGTGGATATTTTACTCTGCAGAGTAACTGCAACTCCAGGGAGAAGCAGAACATTTAACCTGATAGAGCACCTGAAACCAAACACCCAGCCCTTGGCCCTGGCTCGGGCACAGGCAGAGCCTGGTGTGCTCCAGGATTCCCTTCATGCCCTTCACTGGGCACATGTAGAAGCCGTGAAATAATTTATGACATTTTTGGAAATATATCACTCTTTTCAACAAAGGCTCTTCAGACCATGTCCTCGTCATTGAAGCGTCTCCTTGCAAAGCCTTTGGAAAGGGACACTACAGTGTAAAAAGCTGATTAAAAAAGCAGCAGTTTTTGGTGTGACTTAGTTCGCTGTGTGGGAATCGGTTTCAGGCCACCTGAGGCCTTTAGTCAGCTGAAACAGCATCTGCACCTTTTTTATTTGGATTTGAAAGAAAATAAAAATTCCTCCTACTTATTGCTCAGTCGGGGCCCCGTGGGATGAACGAGATGGGTTCCTCCACGCTGGATTAATGATTAATTGCCTCCCTCCTGGACTCCTGTCGCTGTGTGCCAGGTGCCCAAGCTGGCTGGGGGCCCTGGGGACGACCCTTGCCCTCCCAGTGGTGCCCGTGGCTCCGGCTCCTCCAGGAGCTGCTGGATCCTCATGGAAAACCGAGCTGGCCCCGGTGCCAGTGGCAGGACAGGGTGCAAACACCACAGCAGCGCTGGGCAGGAGCAGGCAGAGCGACGCCACGTGTTGGGCTCTCAGCACCCTCCTGCTCGCCACGCGGCCACTGCTGGCTCTGCACCGGCACAGAGACCAGGGCCACCACCTGCCAGCAGCTGCTGCTGTGCCCGTGAGTCCATCACAGAAGGTCTCAGCCCTTGCAGAGTCAGGGGGATGGGTGAGTGTCTCTCTCCTCCCTCTCCACAGCCCGCAGGGACGCGTCCTAAAATATCTTGAAGCCTTTCAGCAAGGTGAGCGTGGGAGCCTTCCTCTTGCTCTGGGCCCGCGAGGACTTGACGGTGACCAGCTTGGCCTGGGCCACCGAGGGCATCTCCTTGTAGTTGATGGTGGAGAGGGTGTTGAGGGTGCAGGTGGCCAGGCCGTGGTGGGTGGGCAGGGCCAGGGCTGTGGCCACGGGTGGGCAGGGCCTCTCCTCGGTGATGAGGAGCGGCCGGGCGGGTGGGTTCCCCTCGGCCCGGCGCCGCACGGCCCGCACGGCCTCGTGGAAGACGTGCTGCACCCCCGCGAAGTCCTGGCACGCCGACACCTCGTGGAACAGACACCCGAACCTGCTGGCCAGGGACATCCCTTCGGCTGAGGGCACCTGCCTGGCGAGAGTGGAGGGGACAGCTGCAGGACCCCTTGGGGCACTGGGGCCTCCCAAAAAGGCTGCAGGCAGCGAACCCTGCATCCTGTGCCTGCTTGCCCTGGGCGCCAGGGAAGCACCCACTCGTCACCCTCTGAGACAAGCAGGGTATGTGAGTCCAAAAGAGTTTTGCCTTTCCTGAAATCCCATAGTAATGAGCTGTGTGGGTCCCTGGGGAATCACACTGCTGGGGATGTGTGCCAGGGACCCAGGGGTGGGTGTGATGGCAGTATACTGGGAAATGTGGAGGAGACCCCTCTGTGGGGAGACACCTCCGTGCTGGGAACACAAGGGGTTCAGCAACACGTGTGACTCAGGGACCTGAGGGACCACAGAGCGGCACAAAAGGCCAGAAAAACACATCAGGCACAACCAGTCCTGGCAGTGGGGCCGGAAACAAAGAACTCCAGAGAAAGGAAGGGCATGTCCAGAGGGGTTCCTCTGGCTCCAGCCCTGCCAGGGGTGCTGACGCTGCCTCACCACGTGGCCAAAAAACATCCTGCTGAAAAATACCAACGGGCTCAAAATAAACATCATCCCCTGGGCAGGAGAGCAGGAACCTCGGAGATGTGGGAGGACGTGGCAAACACTAATGGGTGTGGAAACACCCTTGAAAAAAAATCAGATTTGGGTTTTGCATCCCAGCCGGAGGGATGGGAGGATTTGTGAGGTCTGTCCCACCGGGAACGGCCCCATACCTGTACTGGTCCATGTCCAGCTTGTTTCCCAGCAGGAGCACGGGGCAGCGGCGCTGGCAGCCCCGCGCGTGCAGGGTGAGCACCTCGAGGTAGCGCTGGCAGCCCTCGAAACTTCTCCTGTCGTCGATGCTGTAGACGACCAGGAAGGCGCTGGCCCAGCACAGGTAGCGCTCACAGTTCCCAGGACCATCCTGGGGGTGAGAGGAGTGGCTGAGCCGTGGTCCAGCCATGATCCAGACCTGGTCCAGCCATGATCCAGACCTGGTCCAGCCACGATCCAGATGGATCACGCCAGCGATGCGCCGGTGCCTCACCTGGTCAGCGGTGTCCATCACCTTCAGCAGCACAGGTTGCTGGTCCACCAGCTCCTCCGAGGTGTAGGTGTCCTCTGCAAGGAGAAGGGTGGTTGTGAGGATGAGCTGGGATGAGCCCCATCTTCTCCAAAGCCAGGCAAAGCTCCGGATACTTGGGACGCTGTGGAACAATTTCAGCCCTGATGGGGAGCGTCCTCCATCGACACCTCGTACTTTGCTCCTTCCTGAGACAATGTGATTTTGGGAGACTGGTGGTGATGCTGCTGGGCAAGCCCAGCTAGGAGTGCTCATTTCCCCCTGCATGCCACAAGCGTGGGCTCCAGCAGGGAGAAGGAGGGAAAAGAAGGAGCCCGGCACAACAGGCGCCTGAGGTTCAGCCCTTATCTAAAAGCCTCAGCCTGAAGAGATAAAGCGAGCTGGGGGCTTGACATGGGGCTGTTTCCCAATAAATCAGGCAAGAGGAAGGGCCCTTTCTTTTGGAAGCAGGGCAGGCAGGGAGAGCCATTGAGCCATTCCCCTGGGAGAAAGATGCTTTCTCTGGGCCAGCTCCTAATGGATGTGTTTCGGAAAGGTTTTGACGTGGGAAGATGAAACCACATTCCCAAAAATATCTGAGGAGGAAAGGATTTATCCCTCTTTCCTAAGAGTCACTGAATTATTAGGGACTGTAGTCGGTTCCTGGACAAGGTCCATATCTCCCTAATGTCCCCAATAAATCATTTATGGTTCTTCCCTGTGCCCTGGAGTCAGGCCCAGAAAAATAGTTATTAATTACTCAAATGAGTGGAAAAAAAAATGCCCAGAACCGCTTGCTGCAAAACTCAGCCCCCAGGGTCGCTCACTCTGCGCCCCCCTCATTCCCCCAGCCCTTCCCTTGCCTGACACCCCTGGGGTGAGCAGGAGGCACCAGAAGCTCCCCAAGGAGCCCCAAGAATTCAGCTTTTGGTTTCTTGGGGGCAATGCGAGGAGCTGACGTTCCCTCGTGGGACCTGCCCACAGAGAGAGAGAGGGCGCTGCTTTCACCTCTGTTTTTACAAGTGGCTTTGGGTCAAATCCAGCCCTCCTTGTTTTTTGTATCATTTCAAGTGGGTTGGGGTTTTTTCCCTGCTAAATGCCGTACTTGTGGGAAACATGGGAGATGGGAAGGGTACTCCATGGGATGACAAAGACCCTTACCCAAGTTGGGATCATATTCGCTGATGAACCTCTTGGTTAGAAACTTCACGGTCAGGGCTGCAGGGGGTGAAAGAGGCAGGTGAGAAAGGTGTCCCCCCCATGGCACTGCCACCCTGGCAGCCACCCCCGTGCCCGGCCATCCCCGTGGTGGTGGGCGCCTGTCTCACCTGACTTGCCGGCCCCTCTGCACCCCAGGATGGCCACGTTGCACTCGGGGAGGGGGCTCTGGGGCGGCCGCTCGCCGCTGGCTCGGGGTTTGCCGAACATCGAGGACATCCTCGGTCCTGCGGGAGAGAGTGGGGGGACCGTGCCGGTTGAGGACCTTCTCACTGCCTGGCTCGTGGGGTGCCCCAGCCTGGGCAAAAGGGGGGCTCAGCAGCGTGGGGGAGGAAAACCCCCTCTCCTCCACCCGCATCCTGGAGCCAGGGTGGCCGGCGTTCCCATCCTACACTGGCTGCCAGCACCCCACGGAAATATAGGGACCATCCCCCAGCCCTCAGCCCACCCTTCACATCTCAGAAAGAGAAGAGAAACGCAGCCTCCCACCTTAAAATCCAGGGCCGGAGGGGACGCGGGGCTGGCCGGGGGCGATGGCGGGGCCGGAGGAGCAGCGGCCCCTGCACGGCCGGGGCTGCGATGAATGAGGCGGGAGGAGGCGAGCGCGGCTCCCCTGCTCGGGCTCCGGCCAAACTCCTTGTAAGGAAAGCGGCCCCGCCGCGGGGCTGGACACGCTGCCCCGGCCACCCCGAGGACGGTCCCCCCGGCAGGGCACTCCGGCCCCCAGCGCTGCCGGGGCTTCGCGCAGGGACCCCCGGGCCACCGCGCCGTGTCCCGGCATCTTCCTAAGCCCCCAACACTTCGCCGTGTCCCCAGCTCCTCGATGTGTCCCCAGGACGAGCAAGCCTGGTCCCGCAGCCCTGGCCGAGGCCGGTGCACTCATCACACCTCCGGCAGGCAGGACCAGCACTCCGGAGCGGTGCTGCCCGTCCAGCCGCCCTGCCCACAACCTGCCCGGCTCCGTCGGATGCGTTAAAGCACAGACACCTTCTGCTGCCAGCAGAGGTTTTGCGGGGCTAGAAAAAAATACCCTTTTCCCACCCAAAAGACTCGATCCCAAGGGGAAAACGGAGCCCGGGGAGCACTCACCAGTGCCCGCACCAATCCATCAGCCAGCACCCAGTGTCTCTGAGCCTGAGTAGGTGGCAGAGGCTGAAGTCAGCGTTGTCATGGCGATCAGAGCCATTTGGGATGGGGCTCAGTGCCCGGGACTGCAGGATACAGCCCCTGGGCCGGCCCCGAGAGGCTTCTGGGGGGGCCATATCCGAGGCTGGAGGGCCAGGGCTGCTCCGTGTCCACGCGGGGCTGCTGCGCCATTGGGAATATTGCCCATTAATGCAGGCAGGATATTTTTAAACCCTCCCAAAATAGTCTGGGAGCGTAGAAGTCCCTGCAAGACCCAGGGATGGGGAGGATGGGGATCATGGGGATCACTCCCCTGCGGGAAGCAGAGCCCCACTGGGGACACCCGGATCCCAGACCCGCTTTGGACACAGGTCAAAGAGGCTTAAAAGCAATCGGAGCTAAATGTGGTATTTTGAGCTGGGTATCCACGAGGATCAATGACAGCAGCACAAGTGCAAAGCTCTTCCCTTCTCCCCTAAACTGGGATTTTTGGGGAACCTGCTGGTGCCACGACCCTGGGGCAGTGGCTTTGCCATCCTGTGCTGCCCTGAGAGTTCCTGGGTGCTGGGATGAGGGACTAAGGATGGAGGAAAGAATAGACCTTCAATAGGGTGGGCTGCTCAGGTTTAAATTATTCATCAAAACTAAAGACTGGTGATGGGGAGACCTGGGAAGTAGCCCCTCAGGTGAGCCCTGTTGTTGGCCCTCTCCTCGGCACCCCATGGCACAGGTGAAATGGGATTTCTAGCCAGGAAAAGCTGTGAATGGCACACAAAGGAGCAACGTGCCACAAATGACACTTTTCTTCACTGCCAACCTCTGTGTCAGTCACAGGGGTTTATCTCTGCCCACAGCTGAGCGTCACAGAGAGCAGGTGAGCCCTGAGGCCAGAGGGGAGTTTTTTGCTGAAAAAGGGTCACTGCACTTCCTTTTCCTCACCATGAGATCCCCAGGTGAAGCACAGCCTGGCTTATGGCTCCTTGTCCCTGGGCTGGATGCTGCCTGGGTTGCTGATGCCTCTTCCCTGGGGAGGGTCACTAAGGAAGGTCTCTCCCTCCTGTGGCAGCCAAGTCCCTTTCCTCCCACAGCCAGGCTGGATGGCACCAAGGTTTGCTGATGTTTTTTACCTCCCTGTGGCCATAAACTCCACTTTTTAAGGGACAATAAAATAAAATACTGAGATAACGTGCTCTTCCCAGCTGTGCAGATCTGTTGCCCCCCCCGCAACCCCCCGGGATGGAAACCATCTCTTTAGGGCATTGCAATGAGGGTGCCCAAGAGTGGGGAGAACAAAACTAGTTTCCCAGGAGCAGCCAGGCCCACTCCATGGGATGATCCGGGTACCTCTGCCGTGCCCAGCCTGGCCGGTGGCGCCGGAGCCCTGCCTGAGTTTGGGTGGGCAGCTGAGCCCGGCGGATGCCTTTGAAGGGCCCCGGTCACGAGCTCGGCTATCTTTAGCCCAAGGTATTTATGTTACAAGGCCACCGGGCAGCGCAGCAAAGGCATCAAAGGGTGGAGGAGGCAGGAGGGGGCTGTGCTGGGACACGGCACAGAGGGGCATCGGCTGCTCCCCCACCCTTGAGAGCTGCTGACCCCTGGGAGAGGATGACCCCAGAGGAGGAAGGCTCTGGGGCAGGGCCCCCACAGCGGGTGCGTATCCGGGTGGAGGAGCAGTCGTTCTGTGTGGAGAAGACCCTGCTGGTGGAGAGCAGTGAGTACTTCCGTGCCCTCTTCCGCTCGGGCATGAGGGAGAGCACGCAGGAGGAGATCGGGCTGGGGGAGCTGAGTGCGGCCGGGTTCCTCGCCATGCTGCGGGTGCTGGAGGGCGAGAGGCCCATCCTTGGCAGTGAGGAGACCCTCCAGGCAGTGGAGTGTGCTGCCTTCCTGCAGGTGAAGCCCTTGGCTAAGTACTTGATCCACTCCATCAACTCCGACAACTGCATCCTGCTGTACCAAGCTGCTGCCATATTCGGTCTCCTGGATCTCTTCCACTGCGCCGCTCTCTATATCAGGGACAGCTACGCCGAGCTGGAGGAGTACCTGGACTGCCTCTCTGATGACCTGCTGGCCTACGTGGAAGCCCTCCTGCCCAGCACCTTTGTGGCAGTGGGAGCCCACACACCCACCTTCGAGTTCTTGGAGGACCTGTCCAGGACCATCTGCTACCTGGACGAGGAGACCAACACGTGGAGGACCCTCTCCTGCCTGCCACTGAGCGCCAGCACGTTCCTAGCCGGAATGGCAACCATGGATAACAAGATCTACATCGTGGGTGGCGTCTACGGGGCCAACAAGCAGGTGGTGGAGAGTAGCTTCTGCTACGACGCTGACGCCAACGCCTGGAGCGAGTTCCCCAGCCCTCACCAGCTACGCTACGATGTCAGGCTGGTGGGCCACGAGGGCTTCCTCTACGCCATCGGGGGGGAGTACGAGAAGATCTCACTCAAGTCCGTGGAGAGGTACGACGTGGCCTCCAGCACTTGGACGTTCGTCTCTGACCTGCCACAGCCCAGCACGGCGGCGCCCTGTGCCCAAGCCCTGGGGCAGATCTTCGTTTGCCTGTGGCAGCCACTGGACACCACCGTCATCTACGAGTATGAGACGCAGCGGGACGAGTGGCTCCCCGTCACCGAGCTCAAGCGGCACCAGAGCTACGGGCACTGCATGGTGGCCCACCGTGACAACCTCTACGTCATGCGCAACGGCCCCTACGACGACTTCTTGCGCTGTGTCATCGACTGCTTCAACCTGACGTCGCGGCAGTGGACGGCCCTGCCCGGGCAGTTCTTGAACAGCAAGGGAGCCCTGTTCACTGCTGTTGTCAGGGGGGACACCATCTACACCGTCAACAAGATGCTGACGCTCCTCTACTCCGTGGAAGAGGAGACCTGGAAGAAGAAGAAGGAGCGGGCAGGTTTCCCACGCAGTGGCTCCCTGCAGACCTTCCTCCTGCGGCTGCCGAGACGTGACCATGAGATTGCGACGTAGGTGGTCCCCCATCCCATGTCAGGGTGCTCTCCTTGCATGTGGCTCTGCACTTGTTGCTCCCCTGGGCTCCTCTCCTCCTCCGTGGAGCTGGGCTCAGGTCCAGGGATGCCTCATGTTGGACCCTGGAGGTGACACTAGACCTGCCTGAGGGGAAGGGACTGCAGGCAGTTGCTGCTGCCCCTGCCTGCCCTGCATGGGTGCAAAGTCCTGCCAGATGTGGGCTCATGAGCCAAATGTGTCCGGGGCTTTGTGGCTTCTGCAGAGGACAGGTACCAGAGAGGTACAAACAGGGGGGGTATTTATTCTGACTACACTCTGAGGGCATGCAGGACCCCACCTCCTCTCTGCCCTGATGGGATATTTATTATATCCCAGAATTAAAAGGAAAGCTATAGAAAAGCTTCTCATTACTGAGTTTTCATTACCCTTGGGTTTGGTTTCCCCCCACCTCCCCCTTCTGAAGGATAATACCTCCTAGCAGAGATTCACGTCAGGACTCACTGCTGCCCCTGAATGCTTTTTCAGCTGCGGTTCCGTTTCAGAGCTGTACGTAGGAGTGTGGTTCCCACACAGCCCTCTGCTCCCCTGGGATATCTCTGTGGCCACAGCAGGGTCCTGGGAGGAGGAGGGGAGATGAGGGGTCAAGGAAAGCAGCTCCTGGGCATCAGGTGCTTAATGCACTGAGGGTTTTCTGGGACCTGGGAACCATTCATCATCCCCCCGAGACCCAAAGGGGTGGCAAGTGCTGGCTCTTGTCAGGGTCTTTTGAGGACATGGCAGAGCTTGGAAGCACAGAGGGTACAAAAAGGGAAGGAGCAGCACCATTGCATGGTGATGCCAGGCCTGCAGAGCTCCAAAGCCAGAGGAGCTGTTCCCAAGAGATCCCACTGCCTGGAGTGGAAGGTTGCTGACCCTGAGCACCAGCTCTGGGGATGGCTGGAGAGCACAGAACTCCCCTGTGTGACCACATCGCTGGGGGACAGGGCAGCAGCAAACCCAGACTGTGGTCAGCTGGTCTCCCACCCGTGGGCCAGGCTTTGGGCTGCCTGTGCCGTCCCAGCCGGGATGGAGCGGAAGGGAATACCAGCCAGGATGCCTCAAATACCTCCGTGCTGACCCTCGCCAAGTTCTCAGCACTTTCAAAACAGTTCCCTCATTTGAGAATAAACCCACTCAATGCAACCACAAACCAAAACAAACCAGAAAACCCCAACTCGCACCCATGGCCAGATGGATGGGCCTTGTCCTCATTTGTCCCCTGCCACTGGGCCAGGCCACCACTCTGCTGTCACCTGTGATGGGACTGCAGCCTGTGGAGGTGCAGGGGAGGCAGAGGTCACCAAGGGACCTCCCCCACCTCTGCACCATGGGCAGCATGAGATGAATTGTGTTGGTGTCCCCGGGAGGACGTTACAGGAACCCATCGTGTCAAATCCTCATCCCCCTCCCAGATAAAGCCAATAAACATTTCAAGTTGTCTTCTCCTAACTGAGAGCAGCATATGGAAACATGCTGCTTTAAAACCATTTCAGGTTGAACAAACAGCTTAAACCTCCGTTAAAATAAAGTTAAAATAATTCTGTTAGTAAAATATTTGTGTTGGGCTCCTGTGGCCAACCCTGGACTGCTGAACTTGGCAGGCTCTCCCCTTCCCTCCAGCTCCAGCACCAAGTGATACAACCTCCTCCCCACCTCCACGGGGGGGTTTTTTTTGACAGTTCAGGTGTTTACAAAGATATTTGTTGAGAAAATGCAAAAGATTTTAAGTGCAGCACTTGGGGGAACGCGCAGGTCTTGGCAGGTTGTTGAGTATGGTATGGATAACCCAAGAGAGGAGTCATTTGTTGCATCCATCAATCCAGACCACGACACAGAGAGTAATTTTAGGTGCAAAGGGAGCACAAAAGATACAGCTCTTACCTCTGCAAGAAACGATGAGCCAGGATCAAGGAGGCTCCTCTAAGGAGGGTGAGAGGCTGCTCAGGCTTTGTGGGCACAATGCTGCCAACGTGCTTCCCTCCACCAGAATTCAGCTCTCGACCTCAGCACCTTCATCTTCCCCTCTCCATCCTCGGGGGTTTGTTCCGCCAAAGATCACAGTTCCAGGCGACACGCTCGTCCTGATCACAGTTTAACCTTTTTCAAGTTTCTTTTTTTAAGGTGACATCATCTTGGCAAGAGGGGGACGTAAGGAAAAGCTGTCTGTGGAACGGACTTGCCTTATAAGGGCCGCATCAAAAATAAAAGCTTGTATAACCAAGGGAAAGCTGGAGCAAAAACAGGGCTGGGAGCTCCAGGAAGAGCCCGTGAGCTCCTCAGGAATATCTCCCTTGGTCACACAAGGTACCACACTTTCTGTTTCAGTGCCATTAATGAAGGGCAGGAATAAAGCTTCCTTGGGAATGGGATGGGTCAAGTCCCCCAAAACTTGGATGCCAAGTTTCCTAGTGCATCCAGGCAAGAATGAGGACAGCTATGGAGAGCTGTACCTTCCTGTTGGTGTCTGGCACCCACCTCGAGATCCAGGGAGAAGGGACACAGTGTTTTACCTCAGTGGCAGTATGCTGGACTGGGAGATTATTTGGAAGGATACAATGGAAAAATGGTACTAATGCAACTAACGAAGGATTTTCTCTGCTGGGTTGTGCCAGTTGGCATCCTGACAGGAAAAGACACAAACACATTGCAGAAGAACCACCCCCCTCCAAGCATCTTTACTCAAAGAAGTT